ACTTTTTATTGCTGAAGGTCGTTCAAAAATCGATATAAATAGTTTTGTTCGATTCATATTTAGTATGCCTCATTTACGTACTATAAGCGCTTCTATTATTTATATTAAATACCTATTCTTCTCACGTTGGCCCAACATTCGTCGAGTAGAAATATTAGGCAGTTGGCCAACGAATACAGTTACAGAAAGAAGATTAACTCTAAGTGAGATCGATGCATTTTATCGTTCTTTTACTCATATAGAATATCTTAGTTTTCATCAAGACATTGACTTAAATCCATCGATGCTTTTAAGCAACATACTAACAACAATATCAAACATAGTAGTTTATCATCCAGTTAATATAAGGCATGCCGATTTTCAGGATTTCGTTACACCTAATTGGCTTGAACAGAACACGCGACTACGTCAGTTTTTTTATTCGTGTAGCAAACTAAATACCGTTAGTTTGTGGTTCTAATTTTTTTTTTGTAATGTAGATAGTGTTCAAAAGTGTGCTACTTTTCATAAAATTGATTATATCATTATTGAATTTCGTTTTGCTAAACAATAAAAGTTACAATATATAACCGAGTTCATTATCGTTGAATAACTATTTTCTACTCGGAGTAGCGGATACTTTTTTTTGTAAGATTTGAACCAATTTAAAGCTTTATATTACTATGTAGTTAAGATCGAATAACAAACTTTTAAAATATCGTAAATTTTAATAATGTGATGAAATAACAATAAATTAAAAATATCTGAGAATAAACTTCGAATTGAATGAATTTAAACTCAAGTAGAAATAAATAGATAGTTTTCTGTACGAATAGAACGATATTAGAATTGATGTTATGTCTGTAATGTTCTCTAAAGACCATAAAATGAAGAGGAGGTGTTCCTTATGCTATAGTAATAGTGCGTCAATCCGAGTGTGAGTTTGTTCGAAAGGATTAGCCACATACTTATATACCCAGACTCAAAATTCAAAAAAAATCTTCATAATTTATTCGAATAATATTTTTGCGAAGTTAATTCAAATTCACCGAATTTAGGATTAAATATTCATTAAAATTATTAAATTCATATGAATAATCATCTCGACAGATTCTCAAATCTCTTAAATCATTTTCAAAGACAAAAATACAATAAAAACGAAATTGATAATTATCGATAAAAAATATATTTATCTTATTTTGATTATTTTAATAAACCTTTAATAATAAATTTAATAAAATAATTTTATAGCAAGTTTAAATTTGAAATATATTCATCCTATACAAGAATAAATAATATTATTTTGATATGAGTAACAAAATAAAACACAAACAAACATTTTTTCTTTAGTTTCATTTTCAAATTTGTCGAATGATATCAAAAAGAGTGTATAATACCTATTTTGAAGATTAATATATGTGAAATAACAGCGGATTTAGAGGGAGAAGAGGTAAGAGAGCGATTGTCTTTAAAAGATAAAGTAAAGATATAAAGGATTCTTTTTTTTCGACGGATAAACGATCTTGAAAGTGCTCTGTGGGCCATAGAATTCATATTAAGAAAGATTTTCATCATAAAAAATGCCTTTGTACTGAAAACAAGCTACTAGATACAGAATATGAATTAATATTTTTTCTCCAACATTTAGCAGACTTCGATCAGAAAAATAAAGATTGAATCAAAACTAATATCATATTTTGAATTAGAATTAAATATGAAGATGACTTATGAATATTTCATACATTTTTTAGATCGTTTCTTTTTATCAAAAAATTTTACCGTACTCTCCTCAAGACGGTTGAGTCAAAAGTGAATTTTACTCAAAACTGATTTCCAAAAAGGCAAACAAGCTCTCAAGTTGTAAAATGATAATAGAATACAAAATGAGCAATATTTAGATGACAAAAATATCGTTTTCGTAGGTTTCATTTTTGTGACTCAACCGTCTTGAGGGAGAGTACGAGAAAATTTTTCAATGAAAAAAAAAGATTTCACAAATGTATGAAATATTCATAAGTCATCTTCATATTTAATTCTAATTCAAAATATGATATTACTTTTGATTAAATCTTTATTTTTCTGATCGAAGTCTGCTAAATGTTGGAGAAAAAATATTAATTCATATTCTGTCTCTAGTAGCTTGTTTTCAGTACAAAAGCATTTTTTTATAATAAAAATCATATGATGCATTATTAGAATTTCCAGGAAAGTCCTTTGACTTTCCGGACAACGAAATTTCCCGGAAACCCAAATTGAATTTCGGAAAATCCTATTTGACTTTTCCGAAACCAATTTGACTTCCAAAAATCAAAAACAATTTCCACAAGATAATGCGTTTTTGGAAACCCATAAATAAATCTAGGGAAATGTAAATTTACTTTCCATGAAGGCAATCAACTTTCCAAAAGAAAAATAATTAATAATAACCCGATGAATTTCACATTAAGACAGTACATAGCAAATCTGTAATGAATATTTTAAACTCTCTCGAAAAGTAGCTGCCCAACTGGACGACACATATAAACGAACATTACAAAAACAAAAAATACAAGGTTTTAAAAGCAATATATTTATCATAAGATATTCTTTCAGATGAACGAAAGCGAATCGTCGAACACAGTCACATCACCTCATCCATTCTCCACGTCCTACGTAGGATATTATTCCACTACAGGCAAACGCATGTGCAAAACCACTAAGATACTACCCAAAAGCGCTGACCTAAGTAAATGCCGGATAAGTACATAAGCACCCAGACACCACGATACATCATGTAAACGTGCTGTGAAGGACCGATGAACATATCAGATGGACTCATGCAAGCACACACCACATCACAGCAAATGTGAGTGCGGTGAAGTGCGGAGGCATCCGAGAGACGGATACACCAGTGAACATACATACACGACAACACGCCAAATGTGGGTGCAGTGAAGGGCGAAGACATCCGAGAGACGGATACGCCAGTGAACACCCTAGAGTGTGAGTGTGGGGTGTGGGTCTGTGGGTCTGTGGGGGTGTGGGTGTGGGTGTAGGCGTGGTTGAAGAGCAAACAGAGAGTAACACACACACCCACACTCATTCTAATATATTATCGAGAGAAAAGCATGAGAGTCAATCTTAATAACAAGTTGTGCTATAGAACAGTCTAACGTGCAGTTTTTCAAGGTGGTAATTGTTTTCGAAAAATCGCGAAAGACTCACTGAGAAGCAATACATCAGTTATTCGTTGTTTCTAAAATCTGTCGAAAAACGATTGCCAAGCAATACTAAAGGATCTGAATGGTCTGAAGTTCACCATAAAGATCAAAATTCTGGTAGAAATCAAAAGGAACACTCCATATTGTTTTTGACAAGAAAAATCTAACGGTCTTTTTTAGCCAAAACCCCTACTTTTACTACGTTGTTGATGAACTTGGTCTTTACGAATAAAAAATTACTAAGCTGCCCTTTCAGATAAGAAAAAGTTTTAGATTAAACTTAGTTAGTAGCGAAGTGAAACGCATTTGATAAGTGGTAATGATTTTTGGAACATCCTGCACTAGTTGATCATTTTTAATCATACCAGCATTCCTCATATTAAGGAAACATCAGGTTAAGTGGAATAGAACAATATCTACCCTTATTTCATTTACTTTAGATTAAGTTCAAGATCTTTATGAACATGCTGATCATCCACTGGGAAAGTTGGCATCGAAGTGAAATTTTTCATTATGGTCCAAATTTCGAAATGAAAAACCCTAGAAATGCGTTTAAATTAAAAGGAACATCATAAAACTAGAATTTTGTCCCTTTTTCATTCCACCACTTATCATTGTCTAGGAAAAATTTTTGAGCCTCCCCTAAATTTAAATCCTTCCCCCGCCCATGCATAGAGTAATCTAAATGAATGATTTTCTGTGAAAATCACACGACCTTCCTCGAATAAATTTGTTTTTTGTGTTTTAGATTTGCGTAATTAATTCATTTTTTATGTCCTTGAATATGTCTGACAGTGGAAGTAATCCAAATCAAGAACAAAAACGAAAACAAAAACAACAACAGCAACCATCAACATCTTCGTCAACAAGCGACAAAACTCGTAAATATATTTCTCTTGTCAACTGTTAATTTACCTCAAACATTTGTGTCATTCGTTTTTGTATTTTGAATTACGCCAATTTTCATTTAAATCAATGAAAATTAAGACGTGCTCTGTGCCGAAATTGTATTTTCTTTAAAAATTCTCGGAACTATTATCCAAAATTTCACTCATTTTTCCATGTTTTCACAATGATTATTATTTTGAAACTCTTTCGTCGAAAAGTTGCTTCTAAAAATTTAAAATAGTAATTTTTCTACATAGCCTGACGAGAGCTCTATCGACCTAGGCAGAAAAGAGATTTTTTTTTGAAGACTCTGCTCATCTTCTGAATTTCTGTCACCTTAATTAGCTTCAAATATAAATTATTTATTCTTGTATTTGTTTAGAAAGTACAAGTGAAGCTCATGTTGTCTCACTACCAAAAAAAATTCGATTATATGATGCACAAACTGGAGTATCTGTCGGTATATATTTAGAAAATAACAATACATTAAACTCAAAAAATGTTCAATTGATTTATCCAACTGCTACCACCGTTAAATGCTTTTTTCCAGGTGAAACTGATCCAGATCTGTTCGTGTATCTATTTAATTAAAATTTCTAATGCATCCATAAGGGTTGATGCAAAAGTTCTGCATTAGTGTTACTTTCGATATAGCGTTGTAATGAGATATCGTAGAGACTCTATTTTTTTTGTTAGAAAGAGTAAAGTGTCTAGTGCAAAAGACGTCGAAAAGGTCTTCCTCAACTTTTTTGAACTTAGAAAAAATGTAAATACTTAGACAGGATAAGTTTTTATCCGTCTAATCCAAGCCTTATAATATAAGAATACAGCACTATTGCTATACAAAACAAAAAGAAATTTTCTACGTTTTATAACGATCGAAATAAACTCTCTTATAGTATCGTCTGGTATCACTGACTTCTCATCATTGCCGATAGTAGAGCTATACGGTAGGGACGAGCTATATTCAAAACTGGCGAGGCGAGATGGGACTGAATAGCCGCAGAATGCCGAACGCGACGACTTTTTCGCTGTTCCGTGGAGCTCTGGTCTATAGCGATCCGAAAAAAAAATTCTATTCGGAGAAAAAGATTGCCAGAACCTATATATTTTACATGGAAAAGAAAGCTTATTGAGTTTTCTACTAAACGATATTATTTCGAATAGGGCACAGCTTTTCTGTGAGATATTCAGATAAAAATTTATTTTCGCATTATAAGCATCAAATTGAACAAGTTGAGTTTTTTAATCAAATTGTCTGCTGTTCATTCTCTTGTATAATAGATCAATTATTTAAATACCATACAAAAGCCCTCGTTACGATGGACAACTCTATGTTGATGGTGCTCGAAAACAGCCAAATTTGGAAATGAAAAAGATCAACTAAATATATTTGTATTAAAAAAATTGTGATTAAAGTTCGAGACAGTGCTTTTGATGTATGAAGGAATGAGATGGGTTAGTACCTTCCCAATTTTCGGATGTGTCTGCGAACGTTTTCTGGTTAGTTGTCTGCCAAATATTTCAGGCAACTTTTGGCTTCTGGCGCATTCAACAAACACTGTGGCTTCTATTACATATGAAAATTTGACAGTCTGTTTGTGATTTCCACTGAGTCTGCCAAATAGTCTTTAGTTTTATTATGCCTAACAAGCACCCATCTCTAGCGAATTGGACAGAGAGTCTTTGACTTCTGTCAGATCTTACAATTTGTCTATGGTTTCTGCTGAATCCGTTACGCAGTCTATGGTTCTATCAGATTCTGCAAACAGTGTAGGTTTGGCAGATGGTCTGTGACTTCTGCTAAATGTAGTAAGCAGCCTACGTCTGGCGAATCTCGCAGATAGTCTGTAGCTTCGACAAACCTCACAGACACATTAGGGCATACATAGAACAAGATGCCAAGCTTTAGTAAACTTTGTCTCCTGTAGCGGCAAGCTGAGTTGTCTTTCTGTGAAACTAAATCACAAACGACTGCAGTTTTTTAAATGAGGCTTAAAAAGCGTTTCACTAGTGACTAACTGTCACAAGTGTCGCCACCTTCGACAGGAAAATTACTGAGAAACGTCTTTGCTTTTAATGCGAAAAGACTTTTTTCGAAAATTGTCAAGGAAAGTATAATTCTCGGCAGTCTACGAAAAATTTTCGCTCTCTGGGATATTGCCTTTGATTTGATACTCGTTAGTAGAAATTACTGAAGTTCACGCTTGGCACAATAAAAGTTTTCAATTAAAAAAGGATTTGTGCAATCTTCACATCGAAAAAATTGTTATACTACCTTTGCTTAAAATAATTTCTTACTTCTTCCCGCTCTCCTTGACCATTTAACTTTTTAGTTGTGTCCGTAAAAAATTTTCAATAGTATCTCCGAAAAAGAACCTAGTCCTCCCACTTCTGAAAACTATCCAGAGCGTTGGTTGTAGAAGAATTTTCCGGCGTTTCTTTTCTAAAGCTTTTTGTGATTTTCAAAAAATGTTTCCACTCAAACTCTTTTATATTTCTTCGCACTCGACACTCCGCTCTTTTTATGAAAAAAAAAAGAAGCTTCTGGGTAAATCCATGCGATCTCTACCTCAAAATACACAAGTATTTCAAAACCGCATGAAACTTTCACAGTTTGTAGAGCAAGGTCCCACATGATTATCTATAAAAACATTTTTCCGAGTTTCTTTAATATATACGTCCATATGAGGGTCACAATCGATAGGGAGTGGGATGAAAATGTGAAAATTGAAAAGGATCCTATCGGATTTGGTGACCTAGTTGAAACAAGAACGTTCTGTGTATGGCTTTATAGAGAATTTTAAGGCACATCGAATGGTATATTGGAAGTCAAATTTTCATTGAGTTTTCACGTCCTGAGGGCCTATATATTGGGTATAATTCTATCGGAATATATAAATACTGGAGACCTCATGATGCTCTAATGATAAATATATGCGTATTTCGTTTCTAGACATAATTCAATACAGTTATGGATGCTCTTCAATTTTTTATAATCGATAAGTTTCACTGCAGGTGTGTTATAATTGAAAAGGGTCGTTTCCCATAGGTCTAGGCTGTTTATTGACAAAATGACATTCTAGTATGCTTAGTTCTGTGCCACAGGGTAATTGAGTAACAACATGAAACTTTCTTAAAAACTGCACACTACTGAATTTCAATTTTCGCATTTTCATCTGACCCGCTGTCGATTGTGACCCTCATATGGACGTATACATTAAAGAGACTCTGAAACTTTTTTTTATAGATAATCATGTGGGACCTTGCTCTACAAACCGTGAAAGTTTCATGCAGTTGTGAAAATACTTGTGTAAACGTGGTAGAGACCCCATGAAATACCACTTCTAGGACATTCTACCACAACGCTATATCATAAGCAAAATTAATACAGAATTTTAGCATTGTCTGTAAGATATTCATCTATAGATTTCCGTGTGAAAATAATCGAATAAGATCACCAATTGGTATTTGGCCGGATGACATTTATGAACCTGTATTACCATCATGTCAGTAACTTTATTTAAATGAAAAATTAAATATTTAACACTAATTTTGTTTTACTTTTGTTTAATTAGATGCTATACCACCATTAGTGAATTTGGTCCAGAGTCAGTCACGTGACTATGCACCTTGTCAATTGATAAATTTATATAACCCACATTTATGCTTAGATGCTGAATTACTAGTGGACTGTGGCTGTTCCGTTGATCTTATATTACCTTCTAGAGAAATTGAAAAGTTACAATTACAAAAAGTAACTGGTGGTACTGCTGCTCGAGGTTTTAATAATCGTATAACAACATTGCCAAAATATGAAGATGTTAAAATTATCGTTAACCTTAAACATTCAACAACCGGACATGTTACAACAAAAAGTGCAATTATCTCCGTTTTTGAACGTTTACCTTTATTCACATCGGATATTGGGATACAATGTTCAAATGATCTTTTTTCAGATGAACCACAAACAACAACAAGTTCATATTGATTATCACCACAACGAAATTCGGAAATGATAACATCTACAATGTCAGTCGATGATAATCTAGAATCAAATGTAGCGATTCTGAAATTAAGTCCATTAAAATATCCAATTAAAGATGTTGATCAATACGGCATTTTAGGTTTTCCAGCAATGACAAAATTAAATATAGGAATTCATTTTGGAGGCAATTATATTTTTGGTGTTGAAAGACCTTTCGAACATGTGTACTCATCGTTTGTATTCCAACTAATATTTCATAGTATCTCATTCATAATCTAGTCGTGGTATAGAATAAACGATTCTCGTATACATATCATCAATTACAATATTTAAGGGTGTGGGTGTGGATGCGTGGCTGTGCGTGTAAGTGCAGTGTTGGTGCGCGGTGTGGATGTGGATGTGGGCGCGAGTGTTGAAGACAAATACCCACCCACACCCCACATCATTACACTCACACCCAATTATTATTTCTAATCAAAAGTAGTATAACATTTCTGAACACAGAAACAAGCTACTAATCATTTCTAACTTAAAATAGTCTAAGCAGATAGTAAAGAGGAAGTAGAAAGTTCGACTTCAATATTCGCCTCATCTGGAACTCCTCTCATAAATTTTCATTCGAAGTTATACTGGTTTATGAATATTTCGTACATACCATAGTACCTGGTGCTATCAATTGTGACGGTGTGAATGATTGTCTCATCTTCGCTAGCACTCATACCCACACTCTCAAGTCTCATTTTTCCTTCTTGAATAAGTAAATCTTTAAGTACATCATGTTTTAATAATCAAAATACTCATAATTGTTTTTCGACAATTGATTGTCATTACTCATTTGACATGTCATCTTTTTTACCGTTATTCTCATCTTCATTATCAAAAGGAGGCAATAATATAATGTTTTTTAAATGTGGAAGATCATTAGATACGGAAAAATCTTTGGTTTCATGAAATAATTTTGAAAGAACAACTTGTTCTTGTAAAAGAAAATTTTTAGTTCTGCTAATGACAAACTTTCAGATTGATTCATATGTTTAAATTCAAAAGCAAGAACATTTTTTATTGCTTCGACTGTTCCATGTAAAACGTTAAGAAAATCTTCTCCACCACTAGTAAAATGATATATTCCACCACGTAAAGTTAGTGTCAAATGAATCATAGATTGATGTTCAATTTTATATTCTGAAAGAGCTTTGCTGTCTTCTACTTGCTGTTTACGAAATATTAAACGTTGGTGATCAGAATGAATATCTAAAATATGTTCAATCAATTGCTTGAGAGTAGCTGTATTCATATCAGATGTGACATTCAAAGGATATTATCTTTTCAGTAAGAATATTTATAAAAATTAGAAAATTAGAAATAGATTCTACAGAATTAGTCTATGAAAAAAAAATTATTCGGTGTGAAAAAGGGGAAAAGTTATAATTGACTTTTTCTTGAAGAAGTTTTGCTATGATGATAGAATCATCTTGATATAACTTACATGTCAAGACAGTATCATGTGATTTGAATGTTCGACCTTCATTCCAATTTTGTTTATTTATTTGAGAATCTTGATTTAATATAAATATAAATTATTTTAGTTTTGTGCTTGAAAGTTTTAGAAGACTTTGTATTTGCGTTTTAATCTTGTCTACAGTATCCGTCAGAAGAACAAGTACTAGAAACTGTATGTGTGGTACATGATCACCAATATCTATGAAGAATTTCACTTGACCATTTGTGATAAATTGATAACAATCTGGATATTGAAATACAAATTAATTCAGTTCATCACTTTTTAATTGTGAGATACCATTTAGATTTATTGTTCCAACTTGAATCCATTGTTGTAAATATTTTGATATATAATCATTTTTGTATTTCTTAAATAATTAAAGTACTAATCAATTCATGATTCATATATTCATTAGTTATTCGATTTTCATATGAATCAACAAACATTATTGAACGTGATTTCAATTTTGTTTCGTATGTTTTTTCATTTTTACATCGTTTATCGAGATATTTTGTAATGTCGATCATTTGATGTTGAATTGCTTGGATATAATTGAATAAATTTTCATAAACAAATAAAATTAGGTCTGTCGATATCACAGTAGTAGATGCTACTGTTGAATTATTTTCATCATTTATTGAATCAGCCATCCGTCAATAAGTGGATGTCTAAAACTAAAGAGATAATGATAAACTAAACTAAGTCCAATCCTAACGACTTATTTCGAACTAATTATTAGAATGTATGAGAAGGTAGACGTAAGTCTTCTCTTGTCGAATATTCTTATGCTCACATCAAGTTAGTTTTCATGTGTAAATTGATGAAATTTCTGTCAAATTTTTTCTTTTTACTTGTTGAATTGTCATTAATAATTGAAACAGGATTTCTGGAAGAAAAATTATAAATTCGACTCTTTTAGAAAATATGTAGAGATTTTGACGACTATAAAAAGGTTCAATGCGACTTGTGATTATGTGACAGCTCGTACTCATATTGAATGTCTTTTAAAATGAACTGTCGTAGCTATAAAATAGTCGCTAAAGTTGATGGAGAATCTCTCTAGATTGTCAATGCTATTACAGAGATATTGTAAAAATCAATATTTGCAATGTAGATTTCAAGTTGAAAGCAATCTGAATCATCGAACTTCTACGACAACTTAAAATTTGTAACCGTCACGAAGAGCTTCATAGGATTGATATAAATCTAAAATGCAACAAATTCTTAACAATCATAAAGCAGTGTACAAATAAACTGTGATTGTTTGAAAAATTGTGAAAAAATGAGCTAAAGTCAGTCAAAGTAATGCTTAATTCTTTATTGGTTCATCTTGTTGATGTCCTGTGTATAACAGAAGTGCACACTTACAATGACGCGCGCAATAACATTGTTATTACTCATACAAAAAGAAAATGAAAAAGAATAAACGTGTCACAATCTTTTATATTGTGTGCACGGATGATTGATGTGTTGGAAAAAAAGAGCGCATTTGTTTTTTCCTGCAAATCAGAAAAAGATGCATCATAATTTTTTATTTCTATCTTCTCAAAATAGAGAAACAATGGGAAATGTTTAGAATATTACGTTTTCAGTTTTCCGCAAATTATATTTAACTTTTCTCCCGCTATAATTTATATGAGTAAAGCTATAATTTTAAAAAGAGCATATCATACCAATACCATAAGAATAATAGTAAATAAAGAATAAAGAGTGATTTATGACTTCAGAATGCGATAGGTGAAGTGTCATTAGAGACCTGCATAGTATTATTTTCGGAGTTGTCGTCACAGTCAATTAAATTTTTTTCCAAAAATTTAGTTCTAGCATAAGAACTTCTTTTACTTGCCGGCTTTGTTCTCTGATATTTAATGTGTAAACTGATGCATTTTAGAGGTTTCAACGACATCTTATCAAGTTTTATGAACATAAAAGAAAGTCAGAGTCGAAAAAAAACCGGAGCTGAATCTGACTTCGACTTTCTTATACGTTCATAACTCTTGATAAGGTGTTATTGAAACCTCTAAAATGCATCAGTTTATACATTAAATATCAGAAAATAAAACTAGCAAGTAAAAAAAATGTTCTTATACTAGAGCTAAACTTTCAGGAAAAATTTTATTAACTCCAACGGCGACTCCGAAAATGACTGCGTGCAGGACTCTAAGTGCCATCAATATATATTTTGTTTTCGAATTTATTCAAACTCGTGATTTTGTTTTGTGCAGTTGATAATACATCTTGATTCTACTAGAAGAAAGTCATAGTATGGAAGAGTTATTACACATCATTAGCTAGCTTTTCTATCATACTCCGCTAGGTATTCTATTCATCTACACTATCAGTTTTGCCATTTTGCGTCAAAATGAATACTGAAAAGTATAGTAAAGCCTCGTAAAATAATTCATTGGTGTTGTCTAAATATTTGCTTAAGTGCTATGTTTAAATCAAATCATCGTATTCTAAAGACTTATTTCATTAGCTACAGAACTCGGTGCTATATGAATAGATCAGCAATCGTGTAAAGCGTTAAAATAATGTAGTTATGATTTATTTGAATAATTTTTTTAATATACTGTTTTAATAAACAGTCAAATGTATGTCTTTGAAATGAAAATTTGACTAGTAATGTATATTTTTTAATTACAACATTCTCAATCCATGAATAATTATGAGGTAATGAGTTAATTTGAGAAAAACCTTTACACGACATTTATATCGATTGGTGAGATTGGCATATTTGACAATAGTGAAATCTCTTTGTTTTTTATAGTAATCAAGTCCAATCAAAACTGATTGGTTTTTGGTTTTTAAGCAACATGAACAGAAAGAGAAATTTTTTTTTGAAAGAAAACTAAAATTGATGTTTCATATAAAACACCTGTCGATTCAAATAAAGATAGATGAACCTTAACATATAGATAGAATATATCAACGTTATCGATACTCGTCCGTAGAGCTCCACAGAAAAGAATCAATTATATTTTTATTTCTTTAAAAGTTAGAGTTAGTGATCTGTATTATTGGCAAATAATTCTAATCAGTTATTTATTTATTTATTTATTAGGAAGAAAATATTGTAGTAATCTACATGCAATCAAGTCTTACTCTTAGTTATGATCACTAAAGTAATTTCGGATTTATTTCGCTCACTCGATTTTTTTATTGTGTACGTCAAATAATCTGCAATAACATACTACGAAATCTCAAAAATAAAATGATGATGATATTATTTAGATATCTGGGAATACATAGAATATCAAAGCATTATTATGAATGCGTGTGTTCTCGTTAACAAAGCGAAACTTGACATAAGTCATTCCAGAAAACCTGCTGTGCAATGCTTTGAATAAATAATGTGTGTTTCTAAGTGCATAAAGAAAATGTGACCTCGCTATGCACTTCAATGGCATGTGACGAATTGTGATCCATTCCTTTCTGATAAAATTAGAATTCATTAGCTATTACTAAATCTCAGAATTGATGTTTCTTGTTCGAAATGCCTTGCATTTTCCATATGAATTCAAATCGAATCGATCAATCGAAAATCAATATGCCTAACTGTATATCTGATCAGTTGTCATTTTTGAAGGTGCGGATGGTTATAAATTTTTTTCTCAATGACCATACAATATAGATCAGTCGTAACATAAATTATATTAAAACTAGTATGAGAAAAATCTTAATCATTTCTTGAATGTACCGAAAAATAGAGAATTGAAGTCGAGAGAAAATATTAATTCAACATTTATCTTTTTCTATAGCAATATCAGATGAAGATTGTTTATGCATTTGAGAAATATAGTACACAAACAGTGCTGTAAGGTGCAGAGCAAAAGAGTGCTTTTTTTCAAGCTTTATATAAATTAATATGATATTAATCTCCATAGCTTAGGTATACCCTAAGTAAAGTTTTGGTTAACGTGAAAATTCATTTCGGTATTATATTCACTTGTAAAAACAAATAACTCAATAACGGTGCGATTCATGTTCTACACGGTTTATCTATTCAACCATTATTCACGTTTGTGTTAACATGTTGAAAAGCACCATATCTTTTTTATTTCTTAGTTTTTATATAGATATCAGACTAAACTGAGATTAAGGCAAAGTTAAACATAATTTTTTAAACTATTCGAAAACAAAAAAGAAAAATCGACACAGATGAGTTATATTTAACTTTAATCGAAATCTAGTTTGCCTGAGCAAAGTTCGACAAAAAGAAAGGATTCTTAACCTTATGTGTTTATTTGAGTAGTAGTTTTTTTTAATCAGTGCTTATTTATCTTTGACTTTGACTTGATTCATAAATAATATTTTAAGTACGACTATATTATGCTTGTAAGTTTTATTGAATTAGGTTTCAACTAAAAACAATGAAAGGTTTTTTAAAAGCGTCTTTATTTTCATTTATAGTATAATAAATGTCTTCTTTTCGAAATTGATGTTCAACAAATAAATATATTGATTTACTTTTTCATAAAATATATTCGAACATCATTTTTTGACATTGATACAAAAGTCATTCGTATATACATTAGAATATCAATAGTGAAAATGAATAAATACTCCGTCTACTCAAAAATACTAAGTACGTGTTACTTTTTCTTAATGGCAATGAAAATTTCGAGCTTGTTTTTAAATAAAAGAACTTTATTTCGTAATTTTATATCTAACGTAAGTTTATTTTCACCTAAAAATTCAATTTCATTTGTGGCATATAAACCATAGAGTCGAGTGTCTGAAAGTGTGTCATTAATATTCATATTCTCAAGCAATTTCGTTACTGAATAAGAAAAAACTAAATTTTCGTTTAAATAAAGCTTCGGTGTTTTTTAATTATTGGTTTCAAGGTAAAAGTCTTTTTTTTTACAAATATCTACTATAAACTGATATGTTAAACATTAAACCTTTAACTGATATGAATAAAAGTTGAAAAAGAAGTAAAGTTATTTTATTTATCTTTTAACGTATAAGACAAAACAAACAACAATTTTATTGTTTTTCTTTTTGTTTTTGTTGTTGAATTTTATTAAGTAATAATTCAATTTGTCCTTGCATAACAGGTTGACCACGACGTGTTTTTTTCACTAATTTTTTTAATCGAGATTGTTTATTTGCCTTATATCGAGCCATAGCAGCATTGACTGCTTGTTGACGAGCTTCTTTAGCCTGTAAAAATAAAACAAAAATTAATATAAAAAAAAAAGCAATTAGAGTAATTTCTGCGGAATTAAATTATGAAATACGATGTAGTTACGATAAGTGCACGAAAAATTAAATTTACCCTGGTTTGCTTTTTTTTCTTTTTAAGTAGAGCCTTGTACGAAGTCAACTAAACTTTTTTCCAAGAACTCAGTTTTTGACATAAGAACGTTTTTGAACAGTAGGTTTTGTTCTCTGATATTTACTATACAAATTGGTGTATTTTTGAGATTCCACGTAATCTCTTATAGAGGTATCCGGGCACAAAACAAAATTGGAGTTAAATTCGGCTTCGATTTCCATTCATGTCAATAGGTCTTCATAATATGCGATTGAAACATCCGAAACGCATCTGTTTCTACAGTATGTATTAGAGAACAAAACGTACTATTCAAAAAAACTTCATATATTAAAATTGAATATTCGACAAAAAACTTAGTTGACTCCATGCAGAGCTCCATTTTCAAGCGATTATGACTTTGAAATCTTCTATCCTTTGGTTCCTCTAGACTCTTCACCGACACTCAAAATGACTAAAACATTCTTACAGCTTTAAAGGATCTGTGAGTACAAAACTAAAACGAGATAAGTTTTATTTCTCGTGGATTTTCAGAAATACAATAAAGAAGTAGTTCATATATTATAACGAGACTTTATTGATATACATTCTGTAATCGTACATAAACGTCTGTAATGTGGAGATGAGTCCAAATTTTTACTCGTATACTTCCACACCACTTTTAGATCGTGTTTCACAAGAAAAAGCAGAAAAATTTATTAAAAAAAAACAAACAAATGTATTACTTGTTTAGCTTCTTCTTTTTCTTGTTTTCGTAAAATATGTGCATCATGAATTTTTTGATTATGTGATTTTCTTTTTTTATTATCGTGAAAGGGTTTTAAATTATTTTTCTTCATTTTTCTAAAATAAAAAAAAGAACACAAGAAAATGATTCTAATATTTGATTAATTTATCTCCGGTTGAAATTTTACTAAATTAAGTTTTTCTTTTAATCTACTTATACAAAGGAAAAAAACCAATACAACAATTTTTAACATGAGTTCATTTTGATTGACTCCATATTGATCTAGTCGATGATGAAGCAACTAGTAATTTATTTGTACTAAATAGTGAAACACCAACTCCAACAATTGACATTAGAGCAGCTGCAATAAATGATAAACGTTGTCTATTGATCGTGGAATTTGTTACATCATATCTCTAAACAAGAAAAAAAATCGAATTGATTTGCAAGAAAGAACTTACGGTAAATAATCGTGATCCACTTTTTGTAGTTATCCCAAATACCATCTTTACTTGGAAAACTTTATATTGAAAATCAATAAACTATATGAGTGAGAGTGATTACGCTCAAAAACAAAATATAAAATGAAATTGATTGGTCTTTTTATTTAATCAATCATTTCTCTTTTTGGATAGATGAAGTTCTAGTCTATTGACACATGCATGAATCATCAAATCATTGTTGAAATTTGTATCCACTTATGCACTTACTTCGAACAGAAGATCAGACGAAAAAAAATTTGATAAAAACGTATAGAAAAAAAAAGGTATATTTACCTGTATATTTTGTGTTCATGAAAGTTCAGTCCCACACAAATGATGACGCTACACTACACGTAGAATTTGATAATAGTACAACCGATTTTTTGTGAGAACAAATAGAAATGAAAGATGTCGATAAATCAATTCTTTGATTTTAGTTTAATTCCATGATTATAGTAGGTCAGAAGAATTTGACTTCATTAATAATTTTTATTAGGTATATACTTCATATGCTGTAAATATGAGCTTTCAAAAAAATAGTCCCATCTTAGGTGTCGCCACACGTAGTGCATTCGACAATGATTGGCATTTCTCCCATTGCTTTATATCACCAGACCACGTACTATTCAATTTGATTTTTATTTTGATTATTTATCATAGAATTGAAGTTATTTAATTATTTAAATTAATTTTTCTTTTTCTTAAGATATAAATTCATTTGATTGGTCCACATAGTTAATCCAGATTTTATTCAATATATTGAAGATAAGGGAAAAAGAAAATTTGTTACTAAAAACTTGTTGTTTTTTTTTCAGTATGGATGACGAATTTCCTACCGACTTCCCTTCTCAAACGAGAACCTATATTTCAATATTAAATCCTGAATCTTCTTCATTCGAACCTTCATCGTATTCTCAACATATTGAAGAAGTATCACAACCAAAATGTTCTTCAGAAAATAATAATCATCATTTACATATTCAACCTACTACAAATGATCAATATGATAATCAAAATCATTATTCAACAAGTATTCATTCAATAGAACAACCAGCAGAATGTATTTCATCACAAACACATTTTATTCAAGAAACGATATCAGATAATCAACATTCAACAAGTTCATGTCATATCGAACCACTGAACATTTGTCATAATGATCAATTTAAACAACCAATATTCCAAACAAAAGAAGAAGAAGATTATTATGATGAAAAAAATGAGCAAAGTACAAATGAAATTTCTTCTCAACAGTCAATTAATATTAATAATGAAGAAATAATAAATAATGAAACTAATCTGAATGAGACACCGGATGAATTGAAGTGAGTTACATTTATATGAATTATTTTAAAATAAACTCATTAAAGAATATCAAATACAATGTGATTAGCTTAGATCACAATGTTTCTTGCAGTTTTATACTTCATTCTCTCTATATTCTGAATATACTTGACTTATACTCATTCATGATAATTTCAATATCATTATTCTTCGTTTTTCATATTTTTTTCTCATGTTTGTAAAATAATAAATAGTAAGATATTGTGATCAAACTTTGTGTACCATCAGCTACGAAATGATCTTGAGCAAGTCACTAATGGGTGTTTGTCTTGAATCATCCATCCGACAACATGCTGATTACCTTGTAACATTCACTTACTCTTGTAGATAGTATGAGGAGCACGAGAGCTACAACTAGTCATAGTTGTAAGAAAGATATCGCGTTATTAAATCCGCTGCTAGGGAACACCCTATACCATGAAACAGGAGTATTCTTCTTTCAATCAATTTTAATATTCTATTTTGAAAATAATTTCTTTTAGAACACAACGTGAACTTGATAATGATGAAATTCCACCAGTAGAAATACCTATCGATCGATCTTCAACTGATATCGATAGCAATAATACTTTAACAGAATCAAAATCAAATATAATTGATACACATTCATTAATAGAACTTGAAACATCCTATGAACAAAAACAAACGAAAGAATCGTTAAATTCATTACCCGATGTTGTTCCTGAAATGTCTAAAAAAATTCATGATGATTCACTTCCTCAAACTGAACTTGATGATATTCTTGGTAATAAATCTTTACTCAAACAAGTAAATAAAAAATAATTTTTTATTTAAACAAAAAAAAATTCTTATAAATTAATTTATATTTGTCTAGACAATTACTCCAGGTACGCCCGATACACGTCCATTGCGTAATACAATGGCAACAGTTTCTTATAAATTATTCTTAATCGATGATTCAACATCAAATTCTCGTCTTATTGAAACAATAACGAATGAAAGTTTTTTTGTTAGTGAAAATGATATTTTACCAGCTATTGATATTTCTATTCAATTAATGGATCGTGGTGAACATGCTTTCATTTATTCGGATGTTCGACATTGTTATGGAGAAATCGGTTATGAAGAAAAACAAATTCCACCAATATCATCAAATAATTCATATCGAATGAAAATTGATTTAGAATTTCATGATTGGAAATATGCACCTGATATTCAAACATTATCAATAGATGAAAGACTTTTTTGGAGGTTTATTTCATCTTCTTTTCTTTTCTTTTCTTTTCTTTTAAAACGAGAGAGAATCATAAGATGTTAAATCGGCTTACTAGTTCTTTTCTTGGCTACCTCCATTAAATCATATATCAACGGAAAGAGCATACTCAAACTAACATTTCTGCACTACTAGTTTCATGAAAATGTCATTTTGACATTATAACGAAACCTCGAAATTAGTTTAAAGTTATAAGATGTCAAATTATCAATATCTAGAAAATAAAAGTAGACTTTTCCAAGAATTCATTTCTCATAGAATTCAGGAGAGCGGCTAGGGATCAATTTTTCGATGCGAAAATAAGCTGTAGAAATTCTTTAAATTGCATATGGATCCACTAAGAGTTTTTTTGTTGATTGAGAATGTCATTTTAGTTTGCAATCAAATTGAAGTTTTTCTAATAGAAATCTTCTAAATATTGATAAAAAAGAGACAAAAACCAGTCTGAAGACTAGTGGATTAGAGAATTTTGCCAGTAGCAAAAGTTTTTTTAAAATAATTTAATAGTTTTTCAAAAGAACTATTGAAATAGATAATACGATAATAATCGATGATAAATACCGTAAATATGTTAAGAGTAACTACTATATAGTACATCGGACCTATATATCATTAAATTAAACAATCAATTGGTGATTTATATATAAGATTGAAGCTCCATGAAATCCAAAATTTCATTAGTATTTTATCTTTTCTATTTATTTCTATAAAGAATTCATCATCATAAGATGGATTATTAGAATGAAGACTAAAATCTCATGAAACTAGTAGTACAATTTTAGTTTCAACATGCTCTTTTCGTTGATATATGATTCAATGAAGTTATGCGCTCTTCTACTTTACAAAAAAAAAAAAAGAAACCTTTATTTTTTTAATTTTAGTGATAAAAAACGACAACGAGGAAATTTCTTATATCGTCGAAAAGATTATTCAACAGTTCTTCAATGTTATCGTAATTCATTAAAATTCTTAGATATCGAACAATATCCATTATTAGAAGATGATAAACAATCATCAATATTAATCGATCGATATATACAAGTACAAAACAATCTTGCACAAGTTCATTTATTAAATAATCAATATGAACAATGTTTGGATGCTGTTAATCAAGTTTTAAAACATGATTCAAAAAATATCAAAGCTTTATTTCGACAAGCAAAAGCTTTATTTGAATTAGGAAATTATGATCAAGCAATTTCACCATTAAAATTATTATTACAAAGTCAAAATAAAGATGTAGAAAAAGATAAAGTTAATGAAATGTTAAATATTTGTGAAACAAAATTAGCAAAATATAAAAAAAATGAAAAAGAAATTTATAAAAGAATGTTTTCATCAACTACACCAACAAAAACTGATCAGAAAATTCAAACAAAAACTATGCAAAAGGTTTCAAATAAATTTTTATATATAAAAGCAAAAATCTAAATAAATAAAAATAAAATTTTTTTATTTTATAGGTTGAAAACAAGAATCATAGTGCTTGGTGGACATATGTTGCAATGGGTAGTGCTGCTTTAGCTGCCGTTGGTCTCGCTGCAATAATTAAATATCGATAAATATTTCGATAAATTTCATTTTTATGCATCCTGCTATTTTGTATCTTTCATTTTTCTCTTACGAACTTTTGTTTTCCACATACCAAATGTCGGTGAATAAACATTCAACTATTGATAATAATTAATTGAAATTATTTTAAATATTTATCTCTTCAACTATAGACATGTATGTAGAGTAGATCATAATCACTTTAGATAAAATTGGAAGATCTCAAAAAATAATAAATCTTGATGTTTTTTTGATCTTTTGTATCTTTGTAAGATTTTGATCATTTTTCTTAGCTTTTATCTAATCATGACATGCTATGAACTCGTTCAGTATACCTTTCTGTCTAATTTTTTTTACATACTATTTAATTGCATCATAATACTTAGATAGACATTGAAGAGCTGTCGTAAAAGAAAAGGTTATGCATGTCAAAATGACATGTCGATGTGAGTACATCGATTTAATACATTATGTAATTGTGAGGAATCGAAAAAAAATTCTGTTTTTGACTATGAATTTTTTTTTAATGAATAGGATGAAGTAATTGAAAAAGATGTACCAAGACTTATCATAATATGACAGTTTGATTATAAATCAGAATTAACCTACGATTTATCTGAGATAACCGATGTTGTACAAGTTCGGCATTAAAATTTTGTAATCAATATAAGGTCTCTATTACAAAGCTGCGTAGAAATATTGGGTTAAAAATAACTACCGAAGACTGAAAAGGCAGCTTGCAATTTCATACAAACCAGTGATTAAGAGTGTATTTGATCGACTCGTTTTGTACATGCCTTTCAACAATTTTAGGTGCATTATGAGTGTAAATAGGGTGTCGTAGATTTTCTAATGATATCAAAATATTCGAGTTACAACACCGCAGATTCCATAGAAAACAGTTTTATTAAAAGCCTTCATTTTCCCTTTATGATTCACAATGAATTTTTTATCATAATGTTTAATCTTCTACTTTGTATAATGTGCTTTTGTAGAAAGCTTACTAAACTCTAATTGAACATAAAATATGGACTATCAACAACTTGGATTGCTGGAAAAAATTTTATTTTTCAAAATCACTTATTAGCTGTGAACACCTTTCGCTAGCAAAGATCCTTTAGAAAAGTGTCAATTTTTCATTCAATCAATAAATTTACCTGTTTACAATGCTGTATCATAGTGTAAAAAAACTCGATAGAAGACGGAAAATAAGATAAGCTTTCTGAGTCAATTTAGGATTCCTTCAATGTTCCAGAAGCATGCAGAAAACTTTTTCGCCTTCGGTAAGTTTTTTTGAACAAAACATCTTTTCTCAGCTTTGTAGCAGAGACTTGACTTTTTCTAACAAAGAAGCTATCAAGTCTCCATGACGAGTTGAAGTCACACTGTACTAAAAACAGAATCGATGCAGAAATTTTGCACTATCCGTTATAGTACTTAGCTAGACAGTGAAAATGAACAAACAAATCAAATAGTTAAACGAAGAATATATTCACAATCTATATGCAGTCAACATGATTTAAAAAATCCAGATCTTACATTCTAACAACAAAGATACTCTAATGTATGTTTTTATAGCAATAGTTTTTGCTAAAAAAAGTCAAAGTTTTTTATTAAAAATTTAAAAAGTAGCATAATAGGTCTATTTAACGTTCTTTTGCCCGCAAATGTTATCAATGTACATTAGGATTAGATTTTTGATTGAATACCTAGAAGATAACAAAAGTTGATATGCTTGTGATAGTAATAGCCGACTAATTATAATTTGTTTCTTTTTCTGGAAAATCAAAAAATGAAATACACTGAATAAATTAGAAAAGTTAGCTTTTAGACTTCAAAAAGAAAAGGCAATCATCATGGTGACATAATAACTTTATTTCGTTTGAATTTCTTTTCATATGATGACAATACAGCTGAATTTATTCTTTCCAAATTAGATGAAAATATTTCTAATAATAATATTTACCAAAAAAGAAATGTTTGTTATTCATGATGAATATAATTTTCTTTACTAAAAAGAACTTGCATTTCCTTTATTTTTACTACGTCAATCTACCAGAAATTATCTTGATTGCAAATTTAAATTTTGAATTTGTATTTTGAAAACATATTTCTAATTTGATTAGAAAGCTATCGGTCCTTCTAGTTTCAGGTCAAAGTTTTTATTTATTATCGAATCTAGAGCCATGAAAAGGTGGATTCTTGGCACTCTGAATTTGATTATATTCTTTTTTTCTTCTTAAACATACTTATATTCTTACATGGATCTTCGTTAACAATAGAAAATGATCACAAATAAGAGCTAATCAAAGTTAATCAGTTCTCTATTTGGAAAACAAGTATTGATTTGTAAACCATATAAAGAAATCAAAGCAAAAGTCTCGCTTTTCTTGTTTTGTGTTTCTGTTCTCTTCTTGCTGTAGAATGAAATCAATGTGTATTAAGTACGTTCTTGCACATGGCTGAACCAATGTAACTATCGATAATAATATTTTTGTTGGCTGTTGGAGGAACAGAATCATCATTGATGAATACTCATAAAATGGAACAACCAGCTGTTTGGTCAATAATTTTTTTTATTATTCTTCTTCTTGCAATAGTATTCTTGCCAATTTTACATCCAAGTAAATTTATATGAATCGAATTTTTTTTGTTTTTCAAATAAAGTCTTTTTTGTTTTAGTTTATTTGCGTTATACTCCTGAAAAATGGCATAAATATTATATATGGGATTGTAATTGGAAAAAATTTTCATTTGGATTAAGTCTTTCATTAGGATATTATATTTATTTATTAAATTTATCTTATTCAACAGCATTTAAAATGTTTTTATTTAGTTTTCATAGTTTTATTTCATTATGTGCTTTACTTTTTTCACTATTTGTAACTTGCACTGGTTTACCATTATTAAAACTTAATTCGACAAAAATTTCTTATTCAACAAAATTACAAACTTTAATTTGGATTGTTTTTAAAAATATTTTATTTCTTATTATATCAATCATTTTATGTAATTTTATAGGAACATTAGCAGCAAGTGTTCTTCTTTTTCCTTCATTTATATCTCAAAATTCTTCAAGATTAAATCATTTAAATACACAACGATTTTTAATTATATTTTTTATTATCTTAATTGGTAATTCAGGTGGACTATTAAGTCCACTAGGTGATCCTCCATTGTATATGGGTTATACTAATGGCGTAGAATTTTTATTTACATTTAAATATCTTTATAAAATATTTTTTGTTGTTAATGGATATATATTATTTATATTTTCATTAATTGATTTTATTAATGCATGGAATTATCAACAAAAACAAAAGAATAATAATGATAGATCATATGAATTAGCAACATGTTGTGAAGAAAAACTAAATGATCATTATAATACTTCATCTTCATTACCTATTCAATGGAATGGAATTCATCATAGTTTTTTTCTTTTATTGATTATTATTATTATTTTATTCAAAGGTTTTAATATTCCGATAAAATGGCCTGAATATATTCAAGAAATTATTTTATTTCTACTTACATTTGTATGTATTTGTTTTGATATTATTTGGACAAAACAAACACTAAAACAATGGTTGAAAAAAAATTATTCAACACGTATTGCACCTGTTGCAGAAGTTATTATTATTTTTTTTGGATTATTATTTACAATGTCAGCACCAATTAACATTTTAACAAATTTAAATCTTCAACTTGAACCTAAAGTAAATCGAAATATAAAATAATCATGTTCCTTATCGAAAGAAAAAGTATATTTTAATCAACAATTTTGTTTTCGAGTGTGTTATTTTTCATTATCTCTTCTTGAAGGCTTTTGCACGATCCACACAAGTCTTCATCCATATTTACCACTTTGTTTTCAGAGATCAAACATATTAATGTATGATTGAAGCAATTAGTGTATAATCAAGTTAATTTCTGTATGACCTAAAGCAATAAGTGAATGGGATGCTTGTATCTATAGAAAACCTAAATATCTATTTAAAAATATGGTTCTTCTTCAGATTGACAACAACCTATACACTAATTGATCTAACTAACAGAACACATAGATACGGGCAACATAGTTCCGATAGCGTGGTCGGGATCAGGAGCAACACTTTTTCATTGGCAATGATATTTTTCATGGTCGTGTAAAACTTGCATCAAATGTCATATTGCTACGACTGATGTGTTCTAAAAATTTATACGAAAACTATTGTATTTGCTGTTACAATTTCGATTATAAAATGAATCCTTGTTTTCGTACACAACAGAGTTGTCGAACATATAAATGTGCAGAATAGGAGAAGTATTAGTGAAAGATGTCTTGAGCTCATTGACACTGCTGAAAAATAATATCCTATTTTTTGTTAGTACATATATCACTAAGCGAGAAACTAGGACCAAAAATTTTTCTGATCGAAATCGGAACTAAATCCGACTGGTTTTGCTCATTACTAAGAGCACGCTAAAGAGTCTGAGTGCGACAGTGTTGCCAATATGGAGAAGTACCATAATATTGTTTCCTAGGTAAATATTGTAAATATATGTGTATCAGTACACTTTGGTTCCTATCCAGGGCAACAATACGTTTAACCAATTTGTTTGATTGACAGGGGGGAACGCCACAAGGTGAGAATGAGGTTATCATTGACCTGGAGCAGAATCTACACCTTATAGATAAATAATAATGTGAAATGAACACTGGAAAAAGTTGATGATCAAAAGTACTGTCATTCATTAATCTGTCTTAAAAATGTTGGAGAGTAAGACTATTTATTATAATATGGCGCTGAAGTTTAGTTAGTAATCTCATAGAAAATTTAAAAAAATGTACGTTTGATTAGAATAATGAACTTTTCTTTTATCTTTCTAAACTATTCATTAGACAAGTTCTTAAATTGTATAACTGTATTATTATTTTAGTAGAATAGAATTCGTACTTATATTTTCCTTTATATTCATTCCAAAGTGATTGAATAAAAAAAATAAGAAATTCGAAAATGATGATTTTTAATAGGTAGAAATAGTTCAGAGAGATATATATGAACGTATTTGCGTTATATTGAATATCTAAAGAAATAAAAAGTTTAAATCATCATTATAAATCAATGAAAAAAAAACTGTTTTTTTTTTTAGCATTTATTTTTATTCTCCGGTATATTTGCTTCGGTTCTTGACAATGCTCCAGTTTACATTAGTTTTGCAGCCAGTGCTGCTGCACAATATAATATAACTGTTGATCAATCAGACAATAATGGTTTTCTTGCTGTATTCTTTTCTCAATATGAAACCGATGCAATTAACACAATTCGTGCTATATCTGCTGGATCTGTCTTAACAGGTGGATGTACTTTAATTGGTAATTCGCCAAACATGATTATAGCATTGATGGCTACACGTTATACTTATCGAACACGAACGAAAATAAATCAATCTGAAAATAAAGAGAACACTGAAGATGATTTTGTTACATATCATATTGAGAATATTAGTTTTATTCGATCACTTATTACAGCTTGTCTCGTATTAATTCCTATTTTGGTTATTGTAGCTTTTTTTATGCTGTAAATATTTGTTTTTCTATTATATAAATCTGTTCGTAATAAAAGTAATAAGCTTTTTAGTAATATTTATATAGATTACAGTGATCCGAAAAATAGACGTTTTTAAAACCTTGAACTTGTTCTGTATAAATACTTTATTGAGCAATGATCTGAATGATTCTGTAAAATGTTTTATTATTGATGACAAAAAAAAGTTAATATATAAGATCTTTTATTGTTAATAAAAGAAAAATGAGTTTGGCACAACTTCGTTTTAATAATAAAAGAACAATAACTGAGAAAAATAAATATATCTCGCATACGTTTGATAATAATGAATATTTTGTTACAATTGTTATTCTTACTATAAAATCTACTGGTTCTGTATCGAGTTTATCATGTAAGGAAGTCAGACTGCTAGAAGAATTAATTGTTTTTTTTTTCTTTCTAATGGCTTGTTAGAAGGTTAAAAAGAAGACTTTGATAGAAGTTGTAATGATCAAGTTGATATTGGAAATTCAGACATAGTTAACTCATTCTACTGAAGATCATTTCTAAGATCTATGATATAATCAACATCTTTCTTCATGCATGTCATAAAGTTTATCTACATTCTATTTATCATTGTCTAACAATTAGATAATAATAGGTATGTCAAATAAAGAAGATAAAATTATGCGTCTTTTCTAAAGATTACAACTTGGAAATTTCTCATTATATTCAAAAGAACGTGTTTCCTTCATGACATTTCTTCTTTCTTCTAAAAAAAACTTACGAAACAATTACTCCAGGTGTCAAAACACTTTTTAACCCAGACAATATTTGTTTGATACGTAATAGACAAGTCTAGAATAGTCTAGCTTGCTAGGCCTTTGTTCTCGCGACATCGAAATTTTACTCAATTTTCAATACAACTCTGTGACCCACATCAGATCACGTGGAAAACCAACTTTCTAATTTCCACTTCAAACTTTACATGAGCAAAGTTCTTAATGAGATTAGTTCATTGGATAATTTGTAACTTTTCTAATATCTTTTTTCCTGGTACATATTCAATATTCGAAATTTTCTCATATGTAAAAGCAAATTTCGTTCATATATTTGTATTTCCAGAAAGGAAATTACTAGATACGTGACCTAAGAGGGACCACAGTTCACTGTTGAAAAACTCATCTCGAATAGAAAGGCTCGGAAAAGCAAAGCAATCTAGATTTTTCTATTATTCATCAAATGAACATTGTCAAGACTAGAAAGTTTCTTAACATCAATTTTACGATAGAATTTTTGTTCCCAAGTCTTCTTAAAATACATCGGTACATTACTGGTTATATGTATAAACATTCAACTATTTAGATAAAAATTTTTTTTGTATCACTTTAAATTCGTTTTTTTAAATGCGATGCCAAAGTCTTTGAAAAAATATCAAACTCTATTATACAATGTTGCCGACTTCTAAATCAAGAAAAATGTTTTTTTTTGTTTTTACTAAAAAGAGCAATATTTGAACTACAAATTTTGTACGAGACATATTTTCCCAGAACTAGTTTGATAAGGAGGAAAAATCGAAAACGAAGCATCTCTCTTGCAACCTATATCCAACTTGAAAGGTCTCAATATCTGAATTATTTTAAGTTACATAAATTGATCAAATTGAAACAAAAATACGTGAAAATGTAGCACGTCAAAAACTCTATCGATATTAACGTTTGTCAAATTATTGTTAGATCCACCTTCGAATCTTTAAACGAAAAAAAGTTGAAAAACGAAATTTTTTTGTTTATAAAATGCAATCTTTTTCAAAAAATATCAATTTGAATAAACTTCAGCCCCTATCTTCAGAAATTGTGCGTGAACTAAATTCTTATAGAGTTATTTAGTCGAAATATTTAAGGTCATAGACATTTACCAGAGAAAATAATACAAAAAACATTTTTTTACCCTTGTCAAGCGACCAGGTAGTAAAAACGAGCAACTTACTCAATTTTTCTAAGGAAAAGCTATATTTTTCTCTAAGGACCAAGAGTAAATATAATTTTCAATATACCATTAAAAAGAGCGATCTTTACGCTACAAAAATCAATAATAAACGTGTTTTTTCCTTTTCCTTCTGGTTCAAAAAAGATTAACAGTAAATAAAAAACGCTGTTACTTAATAGTAAAGTTGAAAAAAACGTTTTTGAAGGTATTTCGTTTTGGACTTTTCCTTCTTGTCAGATTCGCTCTGGAAAAATATGCTTCGTACAAAGTTTATAGTTCACACATCGTTCGTTTTAACAGAGAAATGTTTTATAAGTGTAGAAGTCTTCAATATGGTATAAAAGAGTTCGACATTTTTTCTAAAGATTTTTGTATCACATATTATTTTTAACCACTAAAGCCCTAGCCCTCGTAAAAACAAGGTTAATTTGTGTTAGAAAAGTCGAAATTAAGATCGACCAAGATCTGACTTTTCATCCAAGACATGATTTATTATTTGATACTTCATTTTTTCTAAAAAATATTAATGATTTTCGTCATCTTCTATTTGAAAAATGTTTTTTTTTTTTTCATAAGAAATGAAAAATCTTTTCCATTATTTCTGTATATATGCTTATCTTATCATGCATTCCGGGTGTCTCAAGGGAGCTTCTTTGTAGCCAATAAACTTTTTTCTTTAGTTTGAACCAACATCTGAAGTTGTGGTGTCTGCTTTTTAAATAAAACATTTCCGCATTATTATATAGAAAAAAAGAATTTCTAGTTGTTAATGAGGATTTTTCTTTCAAGAATGTCTCGAAGTATTGAACTTTTTGCCTTTTTCCTCTCGGTAAAAAGTCAGGATTTAAAAGAATACATCAGGGCTATATGACATGTAATTTCAAATAAAAAAAAATAATTAAATCTATAGTATAAGAGCTTACAGAGAGTTTTAGGCTACCAAATGAATAATTCTTTTTACCCTGATTTATTGAATCTCTTCAAAAAACATTATAATATAAGGTGAAAAATATTACTGTGATCTCTATATATCCTTGATATGTCATGTTATTTGAATGTACCTAACAATAGATCATTTTTGAGAGACCTGAAAGAATTATTTTAATTATTTATTTCTATTTAATTTAGTATTAAAATTTCAGTAGAATAAATTTTTTTATTTCTGAAATATTTTGTTCATTTACGTTGATGGACAATTATAATATTTCATAGATGTTTTCATTTTGTTTTAAAATCAAGAGCATTATTAAGATTTTAAAAACTTGTTTCTATTGAGATAGATGCAAAATAAATACTATTCTTAATATATTTCCATATCGATTATCTTCTTATTAACTTTTCTTTGATGTATTTAATCAATATTGTCCATAAGAAATTCAAACAACATATTTTTCTTGGTACTTTCATAATTATAGAAAAAAATGACATGATGATCTGGTTAAATCTCATATGAAATGTTATGCTAAAATTTAGACTATCTTTTAAATCTTAATCTTTAATAAATCTGCATAATAAAAAATATTGTCTTGATTAATTGTTTTTGTTGTTTTGCATAAAGCTCTTTAAAAAAATACATTTAAGAATTATTAGAAGATTATTATCTGAAGCATCCTCTTAAATAGACATACAATAACTTACTTATTTATTTTATTTAAAATGCATATGAAATGTTTTTTTAGGACATTTATATTCCTTATATGAAAATTTTTTAAGTCAACCAATAAAATTCGAATATTTTTATTCACCTTGATGTCAACGCCCTAAACTAATCAGCAACTATTTTTGTTTTTCTTTTATCCTTAATCACCTTGTCTGATCAGTTTCATTTTTATCATGCAAGAATAATGTTTCATTTTATTAAAATGTAAAAATAGGCGATAATGAGTAGAATCAACATTAAAAAAAAGAAAATGAAATTTTAATTATAGTTTTAACTATGTTTAATTTAAAAAGAAAACATACATCTGTACAGTTAAAACAAAGGAAAAAAAATTTTTTTTTATTTCTCATTCAAGAAGAAGGCATGTTTATATGACGATAAATGTTTATATATATATATATATATATTATTACCAGGTGATAAGCAAATGTTATTTTACTTCTCTGGTCCAGCCTAACACAAATAAAAGAATAATTAATTTAATAAAAGAAAAACAAAATTCTTTTGATAAATTCTTACTGGATAGACAAATGATGTTAAAGATTGACATTGATTATGACAACAAATTCGACATGTAAACAATCCCATATGATCTTCAAAATTAGGATTTATTAATGTTAAATCAGTTTTTTCATCAAGTTTATCTAAAGATTCGTCTTCTGGATCAAACCATTGTACATTACATTCATTTTTTCTTTTATTACCAACACGACACATTAATGATGTTTGAGTACGAGGTTCAAATAAAGATTGATATGTATGAACTATACAAAATTAGATTAAGGAAAAAAAAAAGATATTTTTAAAAACTAATAATTATTAAATAATCTTACTAGTAATTAATGCATTTTCAGAAGAATTTGTTTCGATTGAATCTGTATCTATAAAATAAATAAATACAAAATAATTATTTTTGTTAAAAAAAAAAGATCTTACTATTAGTAATAACATGAATATGAAATGTTTGTTGTGAATAAATTTCTTTATGCATACCAATACATTTATATGTTCCATTCATGTCAAAATGAACTTTTTCGATTTCTATTGTTGATACAATTATAGAAGCAAGAAATGAATTCTCAACATTATCATCTTCTTCTTCTACAATAGTCTAAACAATAATATAAATAAATAATATTGAATCTTATTCGAAAATCTTAATGTTTACTTTGGAAATAAATGATTCAATTAATGTATTATTATGAAACCAGAATATATCAATTTTATCAAAATTAGATAAAAATGAACATGTTAAACGAAATTGTGAACCTTCATCAATATTGAATTGAATCGGTGAACTTAATTCCGATTGAAATGTAATTGCCTTATGTCGTCTTAATCTTTCCAATAATGATGATGATGAACAATCATTAACCATTATTATCAAA